GACACGGGGCTCGAACTCACGGACCGCGAGATCGTGACCTGGCTGAATTCGGACGCTTAACCGACTGCGCCACCCAGGCGCCCCATGAAAGTTTTATTTTTGAGAGAGAACATGCACACGTGTGCACACATGGGGTAGGGGGAGGAGCAGAGAGAGAGGGAGAGAGAGCTCCGGACCCTGATGCATGGCTCGAACCCAGAAACCTTGAGATAATGACCTGAGTTGAAACCAAGTTGGATGCTTAACTAACTGAGCCACTTAGGTGCCCCAGTTTTATTTAACTTTAAATGCACTGTTTTACTTGAAGGTCTGGAATACTCTCCGAATTGATATTGAAAAAGACTTTTTTTTTTTAAAGGTACCCGAGGATTAATAAGGAATCTTTACTGCCTGTAGCAAAGGATGTCTCGTACTCAGGGGAAAATACAGAAGCTTGGTACCCTCCAGGTCACGGTGATATTTACGCCAGTTTCTACAACTCTGGTTTGCTTGACACCCTTATAGGAGAAGGCAAAGAGTATATTTTTGTGTCCAACATAGATAATCTGGGTGCCACTGTGGATCTTTATATTCTTAATCATCTAATGAACCCACCCAATGGGAAACCCTGTGAATTTGTCATGGAAGTCACAAATAAAACACGTGCAGATGTAAAGGTAAATACTGAGAGGAAGCAGTTTGGGGATTCATATCTCACATTTCACAGGTTATGTAGCTCAAGCTATTTTTATTTGCAGAATTTTTTGTGTGAAGCAAAACACATGTATCCACTTGATAACATCACTGTAAGATAGAGTGAGATAGCATACTATAGAGCACTCTAAGTTTCACCTGACATAACTGTGTGGATATAAATCAAGAGTTAACAGTATTGTTGAGTAATCTATAGGGATGATTCTAACTGAAAACAATTTCACATATATTTGTAGGATAAATCTGAATCCTAAGTGAAAACAGTTTCAATGTTTGTTCATACCTTTAATATTCTTCTAGTTTGGTGCTTAAGTGTATTTATTTCATTGTTCCTTTAGTGAAAATTTACTATTTCTGTTTTTACTTATGCACTTCAATATATTTTTTTATCACTGTAATGTCTCTGTAATTGGAAAAAAATGCAGTTGTTTGGCACAAATTTTTTTTACAATTTTGCATGTTTAGTGGTGATGACACTTGGCATTTGATGAAATGGTACACAAGGTTTTACTACTTAGCCACAAGGAGTAAGAGAAGTAGACAGTGTGTAAATACTAAAATGGTCACTTCCTGGGCTGGGTTCTATGCTTCTTGCAAATGCCCCCTGATAGGTGAGTGAACGTTCCCCTCTCCCTACACTGCTGTCACGTCATGACTTTAAGAACATCTCTAAGCGGAGGCCACTCTGGGGGTCACTTCTCATCCAGTTGTGCCTCTGTCTTCCCTCTTCTCCGCTGATCCTGCAGCCAGTCAGAGCAGGGTCTGAGGTGGTAGGACTAGTTGTTTAGTGATGGACTGTGGTTTGGGAATAAGAGGAATGGCCGTTCCAGTAGCAGGCCTTCGAAAAGTGAGGAAGGCTCGATACACTCCCAGGGCTTTTATTATGGATGAGAGGGTGGGTACACAGTATAAAATGACACACAACCTGAATATTTCTTTTGGTTCACTACCATAACATGTATGTTGCTGCGTATTACAGATAGAATCAGTGCGAAAGCGTTTGATTTCTGGGGGACTTTATCATCAATGTCCTTTCACAGACTAGAAGATAGTGTGGTATGGCTGTGACTGGGAGAGATGTGGAGGCACTCACACACTCCTGTCTGCCTTTCTAGGGTGGGACCCTCACTCAGTATGAAGGCAAACTGAGACTGGTGGAAATCGCTCAAGTGCCAAAAGCACATGTTGATGAGTTCAAGTCTGTATCAAAATTCAAAATATTTAACACAAACAACCTGTGGATCTCTCTTGCGGCAGTTAAAAGACTGCAAGAGCAAAATGCTATTGATATGGAAATCATCGTGAATCCAAAGGTAAGCCACAGGTGCAGCCCTGGTCTCCCTGGTTCCTAAGATCATAATAGGTGGGCTGCACGCAGACCTGCTGTCCACCTATTCATTGGTTCCTCCTTTTTGCCTAGTCAGTCTCTCCAGTTTCTGGCCCTGTCCTTCCGAGTCTACACCCATCCATCTCTTTAGTGTACCAAGCCCTGGTACCCTCACTTCACCTGGGGCTGTGGTAGCAGCAAGAGCACAGGGCCCAAAAATAGAGCAACCGACCTCGGTCTTACTTGTTGCTCTGACACTTAAAGGTCTTTTGGCCACAGGCAGGCACCTTGCATGAGTTTTCTGTGAACATTTGGTTCCTTATTGTAAAATGGAAATATTAATAAAGAGAGGAGTTATGACGCCAAAAAAAGACCACGTATGTATAAGCACCTGGCATATGGTATGTGTTTGCTAAATATCAGTCCTCAAAATTCTTGTTTCCTTCAATGGGTCTCTGAAACCACTCCCCAAATATTAACTAGCCTCCACAAAACAAAGTTGCTAAAACCTGTTTCTCCTCTCCCCCTGACCCCTTTTTTTTTCTTACAGACTTTGGATGGAGGCCTGAATGTCATTCAGTTAGAAACTGCAGTAGGGGCTGCCATTAAAAGTTTTGAGAACTCTCTAGGTATTAATGTTCCTAGGAGCCGTTTTCTACCTGTCAAAACCACATCAGATCTCTTGCTTGTGATGTCAAACCTCTATAGCCTTAATGCAGGATCTTTGACAATGAGTGAAAAGAGGGAATTTCCTACAGTACCCTTGGTTAAATTAGGCAGTTCTTTTACAAAGGTACGTAATGATAGATACGATATACATGTGCATTTGTATTTCTTAAATGTGTAAGTATAAAAATGATACACATATGAATTGGGGTCTAATGAGTCTCAGCTGCTAACCTATTATAGTCCTCTGTCTTTGTCTTTAAAAGGAATCAGCTGTTGAAGATAAACATGTAATTCACTTTTGAAATCTGATTATTGCTATAGAGTAGAAAAGAATGTTTACATTTTGGGACATTTTACTTTATGTCTCCTGTAAAACCATTTACTGTTTTCATCAGTGGGAGAATGTTAATTGTTTAACAAATATTGAGCCCCTACCATGTGCTGGGCAGTGATCTAAGTGCTGGATATTTAGCAGCAAATAAAATGGACTAAAATCCTTGCCTTCGTGAATATTCTGGTGAGGTAAGAATGATAATAAGCAAATAAATGTATATATGTCAAGTGATGGGAAATAGTATGAAGGAGAATAAAGCAGGAATAGGAAATGTGTGGGTGGGGTGGTGTTGGTATAATTTTATACTGGGTGGCCAGAGAGACGGTCTCACTGAGAAATGAAGTATATCATGCAAGTATCTGGGGTGAAAAGCATTCCGGGCAAGGGCAATAGCAAGTATAGTAAAACCCCACCCTAACATGATAAATGGAATTCAAAAAATTTCATCATGGAGGTTCCCGGGTGGCTCAGTCACTTAAGTGTCTGACTCTTGGTTTCAGCTTGGGTCGTGATCTCATGGTTCATTGGATTGAGCCCCATATAGGGCTCTGCGCTGACAGTGAGGGGCCTGCTTGGGCTTCTCTACCTCTCCCTCTTTCCCCTGCTCTTGCTCTCTTTCTGTTTCTCTCTCATAAATTAATATTTAAAAAAATTTCATCACATAAAATATTGTGAGGTTAATGAAGGTGACAGGGTGAGCCTTTGTGGCTGGCCTGGAGTCCTGTTATGCCCTCCAGGCCTGTTCTAGTCCTGGTTGTGGTTTAAGTGCCACCTGGTGTGGAGGTATGTACTGCCTCATATATTGATGGCAGATGATTCTGGGTCTTGTGGCTGTGCTGCATTTCCCAGGATAGCATCAGTCCCTGTTTTGGGTGCCTCTCATCAGCCTGGCTGAGCTGGGAAAATCCTGGTGGTACAAATACTCACCATTTTCCCACATTCTGAAAGGGTATTGTCAGCCATTTTTCTACCCAGCCTCACCCTGCCTTCACTTTCCCCTCACTCTTTCTAGCCTCTTCCATACCCTGCAGGAGATAAGAACTTGAGCTGCTCTAATTTGAGAATATGGGCTGAGTGGTTAATGGCTACTCAGAGGATGAATGTGTTTTAGGGACAGAACACAGTCTGCCTGGGGCAGAGCAAGTGAGAGATGGGGGGAGGAGTTGGTCAAAGAGGGAACAAGCCCAATATGTAGAACCTTGTCATTGAATACTGGGAATGTAGGTGGCTTTTTTTTTTTTTTTCTTTTCTTCTGGTGGATGAAAAACCATCAGAGTTGTGAGCTGAGGGGTGAAGTGACTGATCTGGTGAGCAAGAGTGGAATCAGGGAAACCAGGGAACAGGCTATTGCAGGAATCCTGGCAAGAGGAAATGGTGGCTTTGACCAGGGTGATGGCAGTGGGAATAGTTGACGTTCTGAGATATTTTGAAAGTTGTAGCTACAGGATTTGCTGTTGGACTAGATGGGGAGCGTAAGAGAAAAGATTAGGAAAGACGCCAAGGTTTTTAGCTTGTGCAATTGGAAGCATGGAATTGCCAGCCACTTACAGAAATGGGGGAAGTAGGTTTAGGGGAACAGATGTAGGGAAAGCAGGATGGGGAGTTGATTTTTGGAGATACTGAGTTTATTAGACCTTCAAATTTATTAGATTCTTTTTAGATCAGAGGAGAGATCTAGAAGATATAGGTACATGTCCTTCATGTACAGCTGGTATTTAAAGCCATGAGATAGGGATCACCTAGGAGGAGGTGTCCCAAGAACTGAGCCCTAAGGTAGTCAAGGCTTAGAGGATGGGGATGAGGTGAAGGAAGCAGTAAAGGTGACTGACGAGTTACAGGTGAGGAACTGCATGGAAAACCATGAATGTGTATGTCCTGAAAGCCAAATTAAGAAAATGTTGAAAGAAAGAAAGAGAAAGAAAAGAAAGAAAGAAGAGAGAAAAAGAAAGAAGAAAGAAAGATCACCTGTGTCAGGTGTTGCTGCTGATTTAAGTAAGATGAATGGTTCCAGTAAGATCAAGGAGAATTCACCACCAGATTTATCAATATAGAGGTTCTGGAGCCTGACTGGAATGGATTTAATAGAAGAGAAATTAGATGAATTTGGACAACTAATTCAAGAAATTGGTTTTACAGAAAAGCAACAATAAAAAGCAGCCATAGATAGAAAGGGATATATGATTTGAGATATTTTGTTTGCTTTTTAAAGGTGGGAGAATTTATGGCACATTTATACATTGATCAGAATTGATGCAGTCAGAGGGAGAAAACATTGAAGGAGAAATAATCACTGGATAATACCCTTGAATTAGGCCATAAGAAGGACTGGCCTTAAGTTGGAGTAGAGTCCCACCCCAGTAACAGGAGGGACAGAGTAATGGGCTAGGGAGCAACTGAGTGGTAGTAGAAGCCAGTGAAACTTTTCAGGTTGCTTCTAATTTTCTTAGCAAAACAGGAAATGAGGCCATCTAAGACAATTTCTAGTGCCTATAAATCTAAGGAAACAAGAGGCGGTAAAGATAATGATCATTTATAATGATAATTTGTGCTGCTATTCATGAAATACTCCATTTCTTCTGAATCCTACCCATCCCATAAAGCCCAGCTCCAGTCTAGGTTGCTTCAAACAGTGATGATCTCTCTTTCTCTTTCCAGCTAAACTCCAGATTATTTGAATTACTCACTGGGCTCTTATCATGTTATGTTTTGATTAATTCATTCATTTTTGAGAGAGCGAGCGAGAACAAATGGGGGAGGAACAGAGAGATAGGGAGATACAGAATCCGAAGCAGGCTCTTAGCTGTCGCATAGAGCCCAATGCGGGGCTCAAACCCACAAGCCATGAGATCATGACCTGAGCCAAAGTCAGATGCTTAACTGACTGAGCCATCTAGGCACCCTGGATACCTTTTTATGTATGTATGTGTGTATGTATTTAATGTTTGTTTATTGGGGGGGGGGGGAGGGGACAGAGAGAGATTAGGAATCTCAGAGCCTGTCAGTGCAGAACCCAACATGGGGCTTGAACTCAAGAACCATGAGAACATGACCCGAGTCAAAGTCAAGAGTCACTCGCTGCTCAACCAACTGAGCCAGCCAGGCACCCCTATCTTTTAATTTATTGTCTGATCTGCTCAGTGGTGTTATAAATTGCTTGATTGTAAGGATGTTGTTCATGTCTCCTGGTCTCTCCTGCACAGGATCTAGCATATAGAAAGTGCTTAATAAATTGGTTCTTCCCATAGAGGGTCTGAGCTTGGCCATAAATAATGTTTTCACAGTTCAGTTAAACTAACTTGTAAATTGAATACCTGCTTTTTCTGTTAACCCATTTTTGAAACAATTTCTTCTTCCTTCTCTTTTCTTTCAGGTTCAGGATTATCTAAGGAGATTTGAAAGTATACCAGATATGCTTGAATTGGATCACCTCACAGTTTCAGGAGATGTGACATTTGGCAAGCATGTTTCACTAAAGGTGTGTTAAGATGAAATTTTTCGTTCTGCTAGCTTTACAAAACAAGTTTAATTTTCTAGTCCTAAATTTACCTTTATTTTAGGGAATAGTTCTTAGTCTATACCAGATGTTTGTTTATAAGACATAAATACATTTAAAAAATGAAATAGCTTACCACAATATTTAGTATTAATACTATCTTCCGTAGAAATACAACATAGTTAAAATACAATCATAATTGTTGTATATATGAACTTTATGGAATATAGCATTCAAATGGAAAGCAAATACCATGAAGTAATTTAACTGGTACTATTTTACTGAAAATCGGAGTCTTTAAAATAGAATCACTGTTAAATTAGCATTAGCTCACCAAATCTGAATCTTAATGAAAGGAGAAAAAATGGCAACTTCAGTTTTACTGAACATAATCTATTCCTGTTAAGGTAATCTGTTGTCATCAGTCTAAAGATACAGATCTTACTGATAGTAAAGATACTACACCATAGTACTTGGGTACTTTGAGTATTCTTCTAGCTTAAGAAATAGGAAGGACTATGGGTATAAATATTAAAGCGCAGAACCAAAGATACCACAGCTTTTTCCTAATTATTTTTTTAAAAATCCTATGCCTACATTACATGTGGCATTCTTAGTAAAACTACTTAAATGAAGATCTTGAAAAAAACATAAGGATATATGTGTATGTATATATGTATATGTGTGTGTCTAGATGTATATACAGTTGACCCCTGAACAACATGGGGGATTTGGGGTGCTGAGCCCCATGCAGCTGAAAATCCCCATCTAACTTTTGATTCCCCCAGACTAATAGTCTATTACTGAGTGGAAGCCTTACTGATAATAGTTGATTAACACATATTTTAGTAGGTGTTTTTATTATGTACTGTATTCTTATAACAAAGCAAGCTAGAGAAAAGAAAATGTTAAGGAAATCATAAGGAAAAGACATTTATAGTACTGTATCAAAAAAATGCATGTAAATGGACTTGCACAAACCCATGTTGTTCCAGGGTCAACTATACAGACATACATACGTGTGTATATATACATATACATATATGTACATGGAACTTTATTGCTGAGACTGCCTCATCTAAACAGCCTCCCCTAAGACATGAAAAATAAATTAGTAAACTGGTTTTAACAACAAAACAAATCCAAACCTATATGTAAATATAAACCAAGCACCTCAGTATCTTTATGAAGGTAGGTAATGCTGGTGACATTGCAAGTGGTTCTTCGAAAGGGCCAGTTATGCTGTGGCACTGGGTCCACTTCTCACTCCTGGTACCACCTCGGATACAGAGGCAGGGCATCTGGAACTACTGCCAGGATTGTTAGAGGGACACATTATACAATTTTCCTTAACATATTTTTTTGTGGTTAATATTGCTTAGAAATACAACTGTTCCATTGTAAATGGAATTCTGCATAAATTCGGTGATTGTAAGGAAATCAGTTGCATTTCGGCTGGTTTCAAGTACACTCTCTTCTGTTTGATTTTCCCTGTCACATAGGGAACAGTTATCATCATTGCAAATCATGGTGACCGAATTGACATCCCACCTGGAGCAGTATTAGAGAACAAGATTGTATCTGGGAACCTTCGGATCTTGGACCACTGAAATGAAAAAAAAAAAAATACTGTGTACACTTCATACTAATTATGGGCTAAACAGTTTCTTAACGATGAAATGTTCTCTAGGATTCTAAAATTGGCAGGTACTTTACTATGCTACTGTACCCTGCAGTGTTAATTTTTAAAGTAGAGTTTGCAATATGCTTTTAGTCCAAGAAAAGCACAGTTGGAAGCAATACTTTTCTTTAATGAGGATCCTGAAAGTTCATCTTAAAGTGCAATATTGTTTAATCTTAAAACTGGGGCAGCTCTGCTGGAACATCTTTGAACAGAGGCCTCAATGATGGTCACTTTGAATTGCTTGTGATTTAAAAAATAAAGCTGTGAGGCAATCCATGTGTACATGTATACTTTCAATGCTAACTTTATGAAATGAAGAAAAACAGTTGACTCTTGCGAAAGTTGCTATTTCGTTTGGAAGATTTAGTCTTGAAATATTTAAGTATTCACTGGCCAGCTACCTGACACATCTAGTGTTTGCATTTCTAAGAATCTTAACCACATCATTCTTTCCATAGGAATTAAACCTGAAGGTATTCCATACCTTTCATCTAGTTCTAAAGCTGGGATGCCTGCCATGCTTTCCAGAGACTCTCCACTTAAGAACACAAAGTAATGTTTCTTTTCCCAGGTGAAGGGATGGGGTGGGTAGAGGTAGGGTTTTTCACTTACATACTTGTTCTCCAGTATGGTGGGGTGAGAGGTAGAACTTTATAACAAGTTCGCTTTCCTTGCAGCTTTCTTGTTGTCACTGAAAATATTCATGAATAACCTTCCAAATCAGCTCTGCTGGTAGTTGAATTTGTGGCTTTTCTCTAAGGATTAATTACATTTTCTAATTTTTCCATTCTTGTTTTTAAGTAGGCTGCTTGTAATTTAGAATTTACTTGTACAGTAATAAAAAAAAGTTGCCTTATAAAGTCTGGTAATTTTTTACAGCTTTATTTTAGACAGTTTAAGAACCAATGACATACCTTAGTAATGATAAAGAAAACAGGCTTTCCTTTTAGGAAATGGAAGAGCACAAAATAAGACTATTATTTCATTGTACATAATCACAACAAGATTAGGCACTCTGACGGGGTTAGGCAAGATTCCCGGTGTGAGGTGAGGCACAGGCACTTTCATTTGTGGAGTGCTGCTGATTCTAATTTTGAAGGTAGGTATTATAAAATCTTTAAATAAGTTACTCATCACCTTATTTCTGGCCGCAGAACAGCAGCCTATATTTTAAAAGTTCCATTTCTCCCTGGTCTTTGTTCATATACATGTCGAAAGTAACTTAAAAACAAAAACCCAAGGGGGCCATACTTCATCTGTTATCTAAATGTTAAAATGAGAACTCATAAATACGCAGAATATATGAAAATGTATTCTAACCATTTGCTAGAAATAAAAAGGCAAAAAAACCCACAAACCAACCCTTCATAGATACTTGTATAAAAATACAGCTATTAAACTGCAGCCTTTCACATACCCCTTCTGAAAAGTATTTAAATTAGTAGTTGCATAAATAAATGCCAATATCTTTTTCTTTAATTATTACTGTGATCGGACTTTCAAGTATTTAGACTATTCTGGAAGGCTTTACTCAGATGACATACAGTGGTGGTAGAAAGATTAAATACGTGACACACGAGGCCTGAAACTTGACATTGGTCACTAAAACAAAAATTGAGTTCCTAAATCCAAGCAATCAAAAGATGTTTATTTTTCATAGAAAGATCTGTGTAAAAAAATAATTTTTCAAACAGCTTTACTTTCATAGAGAAAACTTTCTACAGAGGTTGACTAAGATTTTAATATTTTAAATTGTACCATCATTAAATAAGGTGGGACACCATATGAATTTCATTGCACTGGAAGAAATGCAAAGCATTTTTTAATATAAAGTATACAGAGCATTCTAGTCAACTACAGCTGTGTTACAGCTATGTGTTCTTTTGGATTTGGTCCAAAGAAACCTGAGTCTGTTTCCAGAGAGAATGAAAAATGTTAGACACCTGATCAGTTACTCCTCACTGAAGGAAGCATAAAAATGGCATTCCTTGTAGATCCCACTGAATCCCAGTTTCCCAACACTGATACTTTCCTTTTCCCCTTCCCCTATCCCGTTCACTCTGGGTTCCAGGTTCAGTTCTTGAATCACAGGCATCCGTATTTTCTTCACAAACATACATATCCCATGGTCAGATGAGCTACCCAGTTTTCCAGTATGTCATCACCTCTTCTGTTCCCAGATCTCGGACATATTTAGGTCCAAATCTTTAAGGCCTTTTAAGGCTTGAAGATTTCCAGTGTAAAAAGCTACATCTGCTGTGACCAACCTAAACATTGGAGAGAAAACTATTTTTAATCTCACACTCTCTATGATAAAGTAGCAATGCTCACAGAGTCAGTCTTATTCCTAGCTGCTAGACTATTAAAATTCAGATTTCCTAGGGACCAAATGTCAATAGATTTCTCTTAGCAAGATTCCTGCCATCATATAGTTAGAGCGCTCTATTTCAACAATAAATATCTTGGAAAGGAATAAACCAGTGCAGGTTGAAATTGGTTTCATAATTCTGCCCAATAAAAAAGATTTATCTTTAAAAAACATGAAACAAAATAGAAAAATAATAGGTTAAGATTTTTTTTGTAATCAGTTGTCACTAGACTATACAGTTGACCCTTGAACAACACAGCTTTGAACTGCGTGGATCTAATTAGATTTTTTTTGACATAGTAGAGCACTAAATGTACTTTATGATTTTTAAAACATTTTCTCCAGCTTACTTTATTATAAGAATATAGTATATAACAGACAAAGTATGTGTCAATCAGCTGTTGATATTAACAGTAAAGCTTCCGGTCAACAGTGGGTACTGGTACTTCAGTTTCTGGGGAATCAAAAGCTACATGTGGGTTTTCTACTTGTGAGTAGTTTGGTGCCCCTAACTCCTGCATTGTTCAAGGATCAACTGTACATATATATGACTAATGAAATCAGGTGAAAGACAAGGTTTCCTGAGTAACATCCAAAGAAGCTAATGAAGGCTGGGATTCGTGCATATATATTACTACATATAAAACTAGATACTGATATATAGCAACACGAGATGAGAAAAGAAAGTGTTAACACTTTTGAGCATTGAGCTGTCACATTAATGTCTACACTTGAGAGAACATTCCAGGAAACAACACTCAGATACATATCAAAGCTCCATGCATGTAAAACAGGGACTGGTCTGAGTAGACGTATATTTTGACAAATATGGCCCATGGAATAATAGGAGACCTTAATTTAGTAGTTTGTAAAAGAGAAGAAGAAATCCAGCTTTAGTATTTTAATGAACACGTAAGTTCTGGATCGCTGGACTACATGGGGACAGAGGTGTTAGAAGCACCCTTAATGTTTGTACTACAGTCTAATTTATAAATGCTTTTGGACTTAACGTGCTTAACGTTTGACCTTTCATCACATGGCGGAATTTAACAAGACCATATTTTTCATTTAAAACTCCTCTAATTAAGATGCTTTAAAAAGATTTGAAATTATACTTGTGATAATATGGTAAGTGCACTGAGACTAAGCAACAGCTCAAAACAGAAAACCTTTCTAAGACAAGGTCCCCCACATTCAAAACTAAACCTAAAATTAACAAATCTCCATTTAAAAATATTTCCATAATCCTATCAAAGTTGAAAATTATTGTTTAACATAAAAGGAAATATTGGCAAACACATAACCAACAAAAGATTAGCTTGAGAGCATATGCAAAAATCTAAAATCGACAAGAAAAAGATAATGCCCAAGAGAAAAATGGACAAAGAAAATGAACAGGAAAAGTGAAATGAGAACACTTCAGTGACTAATGAATATATGAAAAGATGACAAACATTAGGAAATGCAAATCAAAACAAGATACCACCTGCAATTATTAAAAAAATCTAATAGCAAATGTTGACAACATGGTGCAGCTACTTTGAAGAATATTCTGGCAAAACCTAGCCGAGTGAAAATGTACATATGCTGGTATTAACTTGTGGATATACTCTAAAGAAATGATTACACCACTAGACATGCATATAGATCTTCACTGTGGCATAGTTGTAATGGAAAAAAGTAATAACTTAGAAATCTCTCTTGGGGAAATGGCTGCATTAAATATAGTTGATTCAAGTGGGAGAAATGTCAAAAAATGGACAACTCCCAACAAATAGATAAACCAGTAACAATGCTGAGTGGAATAAAGTAAGCAGCACATGCACAATATACCATGTAAGTTTATAAAACAGTGCTACATATTTTAAGATCTAGAGATAAGGAGAAGGACTTAAAAATGTAGGCCAAATTTATTAGAAATATTGACTAAGGTTGGGGAAAGAGAATGGGACTGGAGATGGGAGCCAGGGATACTTCAATTTCATTTGAAATGCCATTTTTTTTAAAACATTATGAACATTTTTCCAAGCGAAATGATAAATGTTAATGATTAAGTAGCAGCAATACAAATATTTTCTTTACGTCTGTATTTTTAAAATGTCTGAAATAAAAAAAATTCCATTTAAAAAACAGGGCTGGGGAGAAGGAAGGTAGCAAGTAACTGCTTAATGGGTACAGGGTTTCTTCTTGGGTTTTTTTTTTAAGCTTTGATCTTATTTTATTATCTGACTGGACAACTAGACAACAGGAACTAGAACACACTTGTGAATGCACTAACTGCTACTGAATTGTTAACTGCAAAATGGTTAATTTTATGTGAATTTCATCTTGAAAAAAAAAAGTACATTTTTAAAGCCATTCCAGGAACAAAAATTACTTATAAGCAGGTAGTTTATTATGTCTTTTGCTAGAGTCTAGAGGTCAATTTTTAGGGAATTCTATCTTTCAAGGAATCACTCACAAGACATGAACTGACTTACACAGAATTAGTGTCTTTAAAAGTGTATGACAGTGAAGATCTCTAGGTTGGTAAGACCCGCAAATAGCTATATTAACAGAGAAAATAATAGGTAATGAGTTAGCTTCAATGCTTCAGAACTACTGGTCAGAAAAACCCATGAACGAACCAACGCAGACTTAGCTATGGGAATAAAAATAGAAGGCTATGGGTCGAGTAGGCTTAAAAGTACTAGTTTTTTAAAAATAGTCTCTGAGACATATTTGGTATTCATTAAACTGTCCTTGAACTTTTCTATGGCTCTGAAACTTTTGAAAATAACAATTCTTAAAAAAAAAAAGAAAAAGAAGAACCAGGTAATAATTAAGGGAGAGAATCAGATTGTTGCATAAAACTAACTCAGCGTGGCCAACACCTTCAGTATTATGAAGCTCCCAAATATTTTTTGCAAAATCAATTCAGTGTACTTGTTTTGTTGGACAGGGCCAATATCTGACTCCAAAATGCATTTTTTCATTTGTTCCCATAAGTTTGAAATTGAAGCCCAAAACTTAATGTTTTATTCCTAAAATCCACAGAACAGGTAACACACTGAGAAAATCATATTAGGATGTAGCTTCATGATCAGTGCTTTTGTATTTTATATAATTTTTCCCCATATCTTTATGTTCTTCACAAAAATTTTGTGATGGTACTTTTTACCATCATCCCTATTTTCAAATCCAAGAAAATAAAAGTGCAAAAATAAAAGTGATTTACCTAACGTCACACAACTAGTAAGTGGCAGAACTTAACCCAAGTTTTCTGATTCTAAATTGTTTTGTATAACTAAAATATTTCACTGATAGTACATATAATTTGTTCAAAAGCTTACAATAAAAATGTACATACACATACATTGTTTTGTAACCTTATGAAAGTTACAGAAGATTTTATCCTTTTCATTTTATAAATAAGGCAGAAGTTAAGTGGACCTTCTCATGGTCACACAGCTACAAAGTAGGACTTTGAGTCCTGTCTGGATACAGGGAGACTACTGCATAAGGATGTGCTACTGACCCACACTACCTCAAAACAGACATATAAGTAACAACCACTTATAAAATACTTTAACGTAGATAGACAAGTTGATATAGATGTCCTCTCCACAGAGGAAAAAGTTGCTGATTTTACCATGGTGCAGATCTGGCAAGATTATAATGGAAAAGGACAGTATAATGAATAAAAACCAATCAGGCATTCCAATACTGGAGCATGTAGTAAAAATATGTTGAAAACATACCCATTTTGAGGTCCTCCATCATTTATCACATTTAAATGAGATAACTGTTTTTTCAAGTGGAGTTTATAACTTGCATTAATTCTTAAAAATAACATCTGGAAAAGAAGTAATATGGTTTCTTAAAGCTCTTTTGAAATAGAAGACATAAGCATCTGAGTCATCAGTATCAAATCAATATTATTTGGAAAAAATATATTTATTTATTTATTTTGAGAGAGAGCACGAGCAGACGAGGGGCAGAGAGGGGGAGAGAGAATCCCAAGCAGGCTCGGTACTATCAGTGCGGAGCCCGACATGGGGCTCGAACTCCTGAAACTCGAGATCACGACCTCAGCTGAAATCAAGAGCTGGACGCTTAACCAACTGAGCCACCCAGGAGAAAATATTTTTTAAAAATCTTTGCTTTGGATATACTTTTAAGATGCTACTCTGAAGGTATGTAGTTGCTATTTTAGTACAGTTTTCTCTATACTTGGATAAAACCTCTTTTTCTTCTTATCAGCAGTACTTCTTTTAGTGATATGATTTATCACTGCCTTTCTGCTCCTTTGAAGTCCTCTGGGATATATAACTGGGATCAACCAAGCCAGGTATAAAGAAATGGAGAATTCTGCAGTATATTAAATAGGAACTTCAAGACAAAACAAAGTCACAATGGTAGAGGCAAAGATACGTTCATCCTTCTAAATTGATAAAATTACTTCAAAGTATTTTACTGCTTCTGCATGCAGAGTTTTGATTCAATGGCCCAATACTTCTGTGGGAAATACCTGACCTGAAATTACATACAGTTAATCTTTGGAAATGATTTTGTGGGGGCGCCTGGGTGGCTCAGTCGGTTGGGCGTCCGACTTCGGCTCAGGTCATGATCTTGCGGTCCGTGAGTTCGAGCCCCGCGTCGGGCTCTGTGCTGACCGCTCAGAGCCTGGAGCCTGTTTCAGATTCTGTGTCTCCCTCTCTCTCTGACCCTCCCCCCGTTCATGCTCTGTCTCTCTCTGTCTCAAAAATAAATAAATGTTAAAAAAAAAATTTTTTTTTAAAATGATTTTGTGGAGTAACATGTTTTCTATGGGAGGAAATATATATAAAGGCACCTATGGAATTTTGTGGAATTACTGGTATTCATGTGACAATACTGACATAAAAATCTAATTCTTGCCCAGCTTTGATAAGAGTTCCCTTTAAATTATGATGCAGATTAAAAAATATATATATGAAATACCTATATGCCCAGCTCCTTGACCTGGCCATAATTAGAACTCAGATTGACAAATCCAAAAAGTGAGAATGTCAGAGGTGAGATCTTATACTTGGAATGAGAAGGATGGCTTGGCTAGGAAGAAATAAGGAAAAAAAAAGAGAGACCCAAGTGGGTGCTCCATATCTTATGGCTCCTCCTCAATCCTCAGTGGGCCTCAAAGGAGTTGGATGATATTTAATCATGACTTTGGAATGATTAATGAAAACCTAGGGAAGCATGCAGAAAAACAGGTACTGTCAGATGGAAGTCTGAGGTGGTATGGGAAAGGAAACCACCAGGAGAAAGAATAGGCAAAAGACCCTAATTTGCTCCCAGATACCATTTCTATATACTCAACCAATTAGAGGCAAACTCAAATAAGAAACTTGTTTGAAGAGCAAAAATTCCAGTGAAAGTTAAGCTCATTAGTCATACAACTAAGCTTGTATTCCAACACTGTATCATTCTGCAATTGGGCTCAAATGAGATAGCCTCGTATAGAGGGAACAAGCTAAGGTGGGTAAAGAAGACTGGAGGGGCGCCTGGGTGGCTCAGTCAGTTAAGCATCTGACTTCAGCTCAGGTCATGATCTCATGGTTTGTGGGTTCAAGCCCTGTATCAGGCTCACTGCTATCAGTGCAAAGCCTGCTTGGGATCCTCTGTCCTCCTCTTTCTCTGTCTCTCCCCAGCTCACTCACACTCTCTCTCAAAAATAAATATACAAGGGCGCCTGGGTGGTGCAGTCGGTTAAGCGTCCGACTTCAGCCAGGTCACGATCTCACGGTCTGTGAGTTCGAGCCCCGCGTCGGGCTCTGGGCTGATGGCTCAGAGCCTGGAGCCTGTTTCCGATTCTGTGTCTCCCTCTCTCTCTGCCCCTCCCCTGTTCATGCTCTGTCTCTCTCTGTCCCCAAAATAAATAAACGTTGAAAAAAAAAATTAAAAATAAATAAATAAATAAATAAATATACATTAAAAAAAAAAGATTGGGGAAAGAATACTGAAATCTTTAAAGTATCAGGAGAGGGAAACAAAGCAAGTAGAGGGGATGGGGTAGAAGTGTAGGTGAACAATGGAGAAAACTCTGATAACACTTTTGTAGGGGAAGACAGTAGGGACAAGGAGTGGATATTTCATAGGTGAGAGGTGCCAAATTTTACTATTTTCCTGGTTTATGCATACTAAGATTATTTATGTTGATCTAACAAAAATAAGGTATACTGAGTTATTTCATGTGTCCTCTCATTATTAATTCCATCACTAATTCCTTCACTATCCCATTTGGATTATAATAACAGCAACATACTTTACTATTGATAAATGCCAACTCTGATTTTCAAACTGATACTATAATGAATGACGTAAGTAGAATCTGGGATCTCTATACTCAATGGACAAAATATCTGTTTTTTATAATTGCTGACCATATAGCAGAGCAATTATTGCTCTGGCCTGTCAGAGCTAGAGGCACTTTGAAATCAGACATTTATATCCACATTTCACAGGTTAATATAACAGCTGAAAAAATAATCATATCGGAAAAATGAACTAGGCTTAACTGTACCAAAAGTATATAAAAAACACTCCAATTCTGTATGCATATGTTATGTATAAAAAAAGTAGTTTTAGGAATTACTACTCACTTGTGTTTGTTCTTCTGGAAGAAGATCAAATATAGCTTCATGCATTTTTGCCATTTGCTTACAAATATTCCTGAAACAGGCAGAAGGAACGGGAGCTTTCACCTCATACTGGCAGAGAAAAACAATGAGAATTATGTTCATGTCCTCTGGATTGTTAATTGTCTCCAGTGTTTCCTAAAACATATGTTTTTGGCCCATGTTACATGTCTAACTCTGGTATAGTTGAAACTTACACTTCAACCGTGATCTGTGCTACTCATGCATATCTCAAGAACTTTTCATTAACTATCCTAATCTAATCTAAGAAAGCCATAATAATTTAGTGGCTAAGAACACAGGCTGCTTCCCTTCTTAAGATAAACTGCTTGGGTAGGGCGCCTGGGTGGTGCAGTCGGTTAAGCGTCCGACTTCAGCCAGGTCACAATCTCGCGGTCCGTGAGTTCGAGCCCCGCATCAGGCTCTGGGCTGATGGCTCAGAGCCTGGAGCCTGTTTCCGATTCTGTGTCTCCCTCTCTCTCTCCCCTGTTCATGCTCTGTCTCTCTCTGTCCCAAAAATAAACATTGAAAAAAAAAATTAAAAAAAAAAAAGACTGCTTGGGTTCAAATCCTAGCTCTTTAGATGGTTAGCTAATGCTGGGCAAGTTACTTCATTTCTATCTCAAAGGGCTTTCTGTGAGGACTTAAAAAGGTGACTCATAAGAACACAAAACAGTGCTTAATGCAAAGTGCTCAAAAAATGTTAGCTACCAATCTGGCTCAATATACAATGACGTGAATCTTTAAAGTAGGCCTTCTAGGGGCTCCTGGATGGCTCAGTCGGTTAAGCGTCCGACTTCAGCTCAGGTCATGATCTCACGGTCCATGAGTTCGAGCCCCGCATCGGGCTCTGGGCTGATGGCCTGCTTCGGATTCTGTGTCTCCCTCTCTCTCTGCCCCTCCCCCGTTCATGCTCTGTCTCTCTCTGTCTCAAAAATAAATAAATGTTAAAAAAATTTTTAAAAAAATAAAAATAATAAAGTAGGCCTTCCAAATTAAGAGATTATTTTTTAAAGATGATTTTAAGAATGTGTCAACATGATCATATCCGAAACCAATAGGACTCTGGTATCAACATTTTCTTTTTCTTTTATAGGTAAGCCAATAAAGTAATCATATTTACTTTAAAGATGGTAAAGGAAGACTTTTTCAGCAATGACCTATACTGAAAATTTAAACTTAGGTAAATTCATTTTAACTATTCTTACATTTGGAACAATATACTGGTATCATTCAAACAGCCATCTTTGGCCCATATCTTATAATTCACAGCTTAAATTATATACTATTTTTATTTATAAGACAAATCTGGGCTAAATAATGTACTAATCTTACATAGTTATTAAAATGATAAGTTCCAATATATTGCTCTTAAAAGAACCATGCAGAAGTCACCACATGACTGGACCAAGATCAGCAAAGTTGTGACCAACCTAATGGTTTACCTTTCTTCAGCCTGGAAATATAAAAATCCCCTTATCTTCTATTTTTTTTATTAATAATAACGATATAATTCACACACAATAAAATTCACCCTTTTCAAGTGTACAATTAACTGGTTTTTAGTAAACTCATAGTTATAAAACCATTACCACTAACTTCCGAACATTCTCCTCACCCCAAAAGAAACCCATAACCTTTCACAGTCACTCCCATTCCTCCCTCCCTGAGGTTGCTCCTGACAAGCACTAATCTCTATAAATGTACTCCTATAACACATGGCTTTTTGTGACTAGCTTTTTTCACTTAGCATAATGCTTTCAAGATTCATCCATGTTGTTGACATGCATCAATACTTCATCTTTTAAATGGCTGCATGACATTCTATTGAATGAACATACCACAGTTTATCCAATCATCTATTGATGGACATTTGATTTCTTTCTACTTTTTGGCTATCAGTAATGATGCTATGAACATTCATGTACTGGTTTTTGTGTGGACAAATGTTTTCAATTCTTTTAGGTGTATACCTAGAAGTGGAATTACTGGGTCATATGGTAACTTTATATCTAATCTACTTAGAAAATGCCAAATTTTTTTTTAAAACCCTACCCAGATATGAGGGTTCCAATATCTCCATATCCTCACCAACACTTGTTACTGTCCTTTTATTTAGGCATCCTAGTAGTTATGAAGTAGTTACCTCGTTATGGTAACATCCCCTTATTTTACTACCACCCTGTACTGAATAGTATCTGCCCAAATTCATGTTTACTCTGAACTTTATAAGGTCATACTGGATTAGAGTGGGCACTAAATCCACTGACTGATGTCCTTATAAAAGAAAGGAGAGGCACTTGGGCGACTCAATTGGTTAAGAGTCCTACTTCGGCTCAGGTCATGATCTCACGGTTTGTGAGTTCAAGCCCCACGTAGAGCTCTGTGCTGACTGCTCAGAGCCTGGAGCCTGCTTCAGATTGTCTCTCTCTCTCTGCCCCTGTCTCCCTCTCTCTCTGCCCCTCACCTGTTCACGGTCTGTCTCTCTCTCTCTCTCAAAATAAACAAACATTAAAAAATTTTTAATAAAAAAAATTAAGGAAATTTAGAAAGACACACAGAAGGAAAATGGCCACATGAAGACAGAGGTAGAGATTGAAATGGTGCATCTATAAGCCAAAGAATGCCAACACAGAATGACAGCAGGCACCAGAAACTAGAAAGAGGAAAGACTCTTTGCTAGAACCTTCAGAGGAAGCATGGCCGACAACACTTTGATATAGGACTTCTAGCTTTTAGAATTATGAAAGAATAAATTTCTGTGGTTTTAAGCCACTTGGTCTGTGGTAATTTGTTTTGGCAGCTCTGGGAACCTAGTACACCCCCAAAACCTTCCTTCACACCTAAAGATGAACCTTGCTTTCCCTAAAGATACCATTCTTTTTTTTTAAATTTTTTAAAAAATGTTTATTTATTTTTGAGACAGAGCATGAACAGGGGAGGGTGAGGGTGAGAGAGAGAGAGAGAGAGAGAGAGAGAGAGAGAGAGAGAGACAGAATCTAAAACAGGCTCCAGGCTCTGAGCTGTCAGCACAGAGCCCAATGCGAGCCTCGAACCCACGAAACACGAGGTCGAAGCAGGGCTCGAACTCATGGACCGCGAGATCATGACCTGAACCGAAGTCGGACGCTTAACCAACTGAGCAACCAGGCGCCGCCCTAAAGATACTATTCTTTCCATCTAACCTTCACCATCATATTTCTTCAGTCACTGAAACTTGATACCATATTCTTTATTCTCAACCCTTAAAATTTGATTCTTGCCACCACCCAAACCACCTTCTTCCACTATTAACAATCTTCTGAAATTTCTTTCTGCCAAAATCACTAAAGACATCCGAACTTCCAAATTTAGTAACTTTTCTACTTCTGCTTCCTCACTACTCTGCAGTATTCACATACCTTCACGCTTGAAACACAGTCCTTGTGTGACACAATGTTTTCCTGGTTCCTTCCTCCCCTCCTGGAGGAAAAAGATGTCTCCTATCTCCTAAGTGCAAAGCTTCTTCCGTGTTAAGCCCCCTCATTTTCCCTTCTTTCTCTCCTATCAATCTCATTCAATCTAACAGCTTCTAATTTATCTCTAATCCAGAACCACTTTATTAAGTCACACATTTCCTAAATGTTCCATACCATAACTGAGTTTACTATAAGCTTTCCCAAACCTGCCTCTTTCCTGTTTCAATTACTATTGCTGTTATTACAATCCTCCTGCTCACACAGCCTGGAAATCTCCAACTCAGTTTTTATTCCTCCTTCTCCTTGGTTCCTTATATTGAATTGGTGACTAAGTGCCATCAAATGTACTTTCAGAGTATTTTGCACATTAATACTCTAGGTCAGAGTTTCTCAACCTCTACACTACTAACATTTTGGCTACATCATTCATTGTTGCGAGGGCTGTCCTGTGTATTATAGGATGTTCAGTACCAGTATCAGCCCACTCCCCAAACTCTGACAACCAAAAATATCCCAACACTTCTGAATATCCTCTGGGAACAAAACTGTCTCAGTTGAGAAACACTGCCCTAGGTGAGGTCTTCAATACTTATCTGAAAAAAATATACTAGCATTTTAATGAGTCCAATTATAAGGTCAACAAACATTAAATAAAGCTGCTTGGTACACAGTAACTTCTGGATAAGTATTTTCTTAGATGTGTATGTATATGTACATATATGTATGTATATATGTACATATGTATGTATATGAGTATATGGACCTACATATGAGAATACGTATGCTGGAATGAATGTGTCAGATACTACAACAGTTGGAGTGTACAAAGATGAATCAGAGACAGGGAGCTTTGGGGAGCTGCCTAAAAGCTGGTTGGTGTTCCAGAAAGTGGACATTGCATGCTACAGGAACACGGATGAAGGACATTTAGGCAATAGTGGAGGTGGCTTCCGGAGCAGCACACCTGGGCTGCTGAGTCTTCAAATGATAACAATTACGTGAAACTATTCCAAACAGAAGACATTTCATATCACCTCAAATCCATTCTACATACTATCTGATAAGTCCTTCTGAAGTGCAATTCTAATCAGGTGATTTGTTAGTTTAAAAACCTTGGGGTTCTACTTCTGTTTAAAATTTAGAAAGCTGTAAGACAATGTTCTACTACCCTAACCACAAGAAAAACCATAATAATTTACAAAATCGTAACTTTTCTTCAACCCATCAGAGAACAAAGGTCCCCAGAACCACGGGAACGAATTCCAAAGAGTCACAAGCCCTTCTGAGGAGATGGGACACACGAAATGTCTCATTATGGCAGAGCATAGGAAGAAGAGGTGACTACCACAGAAGCAAAAAAGAAAGAAAACAACTAACATTTTAACAAAATCCCAAAGGCCAAATATGAACTAGTACATGTTTATAATAAATGAGAACTCTAGCTATAAGGAGAGTGTGCACTCATTCACAGGCTCTTCTCTATGGGTCTCCGGAAGGTACTCAGAAGCAACACTGAGATCAGAGCAGAAGACCACAGAGTCACTCTCAGTAGCAGCACAGACAAGCAGGAGGCGAATGGCTGCCACTAGAGAAAAGGAACCAATGCCGACGAAT